CAATTAGCATAATTCGTTACAAAATAAACGTTTTATGTGTAATTAATGTCAAAAATGACAATACATGTAATAAAAATTAAAATACCATGTTTATCATTTAAAGTGTATAAATTATAGTATTATATAAACAATTTAAATTAGTAAATCACAACAGAAATAATAATAACTGATAGAAAAGATATTCATACTAAATAAATACAAGTAAATCATTTTGTTTCTTTCATATTTATAAATGAGAACTCCATGGCGATAATTGTACTTATCAAATTATGTATAATTTACCTATCCCAAGATTATATGTTTAACTATAATAAGGAAACAGAAATCTGTTCATTATTATAAACAAAAAATATTTTTCGGGTAATTGTTCCGGAGTTCTTACTACTGGAGACGTCTTGTTTTCGTCTGATGTATGGTATAATTTTGGGTCCCTATTTCTTGTAAGTCGATGTCTCTAAATGTGGACATTTTGAATTTTTAACAATATTTTTGTATAATGTATCTATACTCTAGAATCTAAAATATAGGTACATTATACATAAGTTATCTAGAATCTAGATTGTATAGGCGATCAGGGCAATTGTAGAAAGATGTACGAAATTGATTTTACATTTACTCTTTTACACAATATTGCTAATAAATAATAATAAACTTTTTATGAGAGGGTGAAAATATGTTTGTTATACAGGATTTTCCACTTTACATTTTTAGGAGGGTAAAACATTGTAAATAATTTATAATTTTGCAAAAATTATTTTAGAGTAACAGCCCTATCGATGATTTTCAACAAAACGTATTTGTATATGAATAGACGAAGAAGGGCGTAGTGAGATTTGAATGAAATCTGATATACGATAATTTTATTCCCACTTTGACACTCCGCCTCGTTGATTTTAATGGAATATATAATTACAGATTGAGGAAATTAAATTACCTTTCACTCCCTTCCGTCGTATGAGTGCATGATTGTGTAATTATTATTAACTCTTTATGCGCAGCAATATACTAAAGCGTAATACAATTATTATAATATTAGCAACTATAACGTACTACTACCATATAACAATAGCGTTTTTTTTTTAATTTTTTTGGGGGGGGGTCCTTTTACATTATCCTATACTATATGAAGACAAAAAAATGTTTAACCCATTAATAATTTATTATTTTAAGCCTTAAAATGTAAACCTTACACTAACAAAAAAAACATAGTATCATATGCTGTTTTTTTTTGCTATAGCATTTTAGTTACAAGACAAAATATAATATATCACAATTTATAGGCGTAACCTGGGAGGGAGGAATCCAGACCCCCTGTACTCCCCCGTAAAACCACCACTGTTGTATAGTAAATTCGAATAATACGTAGGTAGCATAGGCACCTATTATGTTTTAATTAATAGGAAAATATTTTTTGGCATATAGGCATATATTTTGAAATTATAATAAACACTAAAGTAACAGAGATTTACACAAAAATTCACTTTTTACTAATGAAGTATGATATTTATTAAATAATAATACATTATGTGTTAAAATATGTATATATGTATCATAATTTAGTATTATAAGGCTTCCGAAACATGTTGGGCCCAGGGCCCCATAAAACCTTAAGATGGCTCTGACCCTAATTATGCTTAGGGTTGACATGGTGCGACACGCCAATCACTTTCTGACCATTCACCACCAGCACGATAAAATAAATTATATGATATATTATCATCATTATTATTATATAAAAATAATAAAGTACTTCCTTTTCTAATTCCATTTTTACTCTAAATAAAAATAATAAAAATATAATAATAGAATGTACGCCATATTTGTAGCTGTGGTGTGGTTCTATTGTCGTCGGTACCGACTTTTAACGACCACAAATAAGTGATTCGTAATTGGTTGATATCGCCGACAATACTATCACCATATAAACACAAATTCTCGAGTGGTCCGTGTAAGTTCAAATCACTACATAACACGCAATCATAAAGAATTATTGCTGGCGTGATACATGATATACTCACTAGTCGTAGATATACGAATACATTAGTTGTATACGTTATACTGAAGTTGACCGTTGCACAGTTATGAGATGTTATATTAATTTTGGATGGCGACCAGGAGTGAAAATAAAAAATAAACTGGGTAATAATGTATACACTATACGGTGTTGAACATTTTTAAGGACACTAGAAAATATTAATATGCGTTTTACGATGAATAACGCAAAATATTTTATTACGATGTATCATTTTGTACAAAAAAATAACGTAGTAATAGATATATTGCATTCCGACGGTAGAGCACAAAATATGACCTATGGCGCACGGTTGACGTTCGTTTTAAGAAGAAAGGTTTCCCCATGGATCCCTTAGCAGGCTTTTTCGTGCTAATATTACGTATTATTCTACGTGTTGTTTAATACATTTTTGTCGACTTAACTATTTTTAATATTTTGCGAATCATCTCTTGACGCCGATCGGGTTATATTTAACCGTCTGCGGTAAAATATGAGTAATATTCGTACTTTATTCTTATTGGAAAAGACTCAAAGAAAATGAGTCTATAGAGAATGGTGTTGGTATCTATTCTTAGATCATCTTCGTCGTTATCTAAGATTTACGGCATGGCTCAGAGAATTCTCAATAATGAATAAAACGCGAATTATCCACGTTCGCTCGCGTACGATCATCCCAAATTGAAATACGCTATTATATGTAATCGACATAGACCGTTTTTAGGGATTTACTGATGGTATTAATAAAAAAAATTTGTTAGGATTAAAAATTCACAAGAAAAAATTTGTTGCCCGAGGCAACTGCTCCCTTGTGCCTCCTTCCTAAATACGACCATGTTTTTAAATCGTATTTTAAACACGATCCGTCCGGTCGTCTGAGGTCAAAGCCGTTATTTTTATACGAGGTTCAGCGCAATCAACGTTTTTTTTTATTTTTTTCGCTCGTCTTTGTAATCTGTCCCTACCGTCTAACCAAGCAGTGCTCGACTTGCGGGGGGACGTAGGGAGGCGGAGTAACCCATCTAATTTTTAGAAATTTTAGCGTCCCCTTACTATTAATACGTTATAATTATAACGCTTAACAAGTTTTGGGGACGCAATTTTTTTTTAAGCAAACAGAGTCCCCCTTCTTTAATTTTGCCAAATCAAGCACTGGGACCACGCTGAACGGGCGTCTTAGGGCGGACGGTACAATGTTTGCCAGGAAGTGCACGGTATTATGGCACAACAGACGAAGGGCACGGCATTGCCCACCGATCTGTCCCATGCGTGGTTTATATAAATATAACAGTATGCGCGCACACACAACCTAACAATTATATTGTCGTATCTGACGCAAACTGTACGATATTCCTATACTTGGTCGAGGGGGCCACACTGTTTCCATGTGTTTTTTTTTCCAGAACCATTTCATTTTACTCCCTACGTCCTGATAAAAACAACAACAATAATAATAATAATAATCAGCAGCAACTGCAATCTCCATTATCGCGAAAGTACATGTTTTTGTCCTTTCTGTCACTGTACGTTCGTGTGTTCGTATGTCCGTGGAGTTAATGCATATTTTTCGTTTTTTATCTGTTTCCAACATTCAGTCAAAATTTCGCCATTAAACAGAATTCAGTTAGGGTGGTGGTGTTCCACTTCAACAGAGGTAAGAGCTTCCGGATTTTGCACCGTTTTTTTATCGTAATTATTTCCGGTCTCTTCGCGAACGTCATCGCCGCTCGATACCTTGTCGACGCCGCCAAACACTAGTGAACGACACTTTTTGGTCCCGTTTAAACTTTGCACTTTTAATCCGTGTATCACAACATTCCGTTGACGAATACGGTTCGGTTTGTTTACCTAAACGGTTAACAAGTCTAACTGATTACCCTTGAACCATACTCGTTGATGATAGATTTGTGTCATAATACGCATTGCCTTTTGATTGTCAATAAATATAATTAATTATCGATGCAACTAGATTTCTTTGAATATCCAAAAATCATTCAGTGTTTAAAATATGTTGTCATTGTTCGGTTAGGTTAGATTTTGCTTACATCTCGTCATTTATTCATTAATTTATCGTACGTTGCTTAAAACATTTATTTATTTTATTTCTACCAGGAACTTTTATTCTTTTCTGAGTGTCTTATAACAAGAAGTATTAGTTTTCATTTATTCATTTTTCAAATAATTATGCATTTGGTTAAATTTATCCAACATGTGAGTATGTAATACTGTTTTCTATATCTAACCAAATGTTGAGTTAATATTTTATTGTATGTGATGTCGAGTAATTCTGATAGAATGACATAATAGGTTTTAATGTCAAGTGCAAATTGATTTGTTGATTGAAGAGGTGGTTAAATGATAGTGATGTTATATACCTATGAATTAAATATTCAAGGTTAATATAATACTATAATGGAACTTAAATTCAGAAATATTTTTGATAAGTGTTTTCACCATTATTAACCATGAGTAAATGGTATAATGTAGGAAAAAATATAAGTAATTTTTATTTCATTTCAAATTCCTAGATATAAATAATTATTAATATTTTCAAATATTTGTACTATTTAATGCGTAATATATTTTATGAGTTGATCAGTAACATACTCTTATTTAAGTAGGAAAGTATTGTATCATAGTTTTAAAAAAAAAATTTAATTGTGTTTTATTTGTATTTGTTTTCAAGTGTTTTGTAATATATGACATTAATTTATGATTAGATATTACTTGTTTGTTATAACATTATATTGATTACAGAGCATGTATACTGAAATTATTTTTTTAAATTATTAAAATATACTTAAATTAGTAAAATATTCAAAAATTTGGAAGGTAATTCTAAATGTGTTTAATATTTATTTAAGTATATTAAATTTGAAATATTAATTTAAAACTTAATGTATGTAAATCTTAAATGATTAAATACTGATCTTTGATCTTTATTTGTGTAGTCTAAGATAAGATAAATTAATATGATCTATAAAAGTGTTACTATTAACAGTTTTCATTCTTTTACTCTGAACTCTAAGTGCTACATGTTTCACTTGTATATTTTCTCAACTTTATTTATTATGCAAATATTGTTTTTCAGAATACCTGGGTAGGTTATTTATAAATTATTCTAAGTGTTTTATTTTTATTAAAAATATTTAGTTTTTATGTAATATGTTATAAATTGTTCAAAATTGATATTTACAGGGACAGTGTCAGCTGGTAAAGTGGTGTGCAACAGGAAACGCTTGGTATACAGTGAATTGGCAATCTGGACTAAACGTAGATCCACCGTGGCGTTGCTGACATTATTTCTGTGATTAAGCGTTACACTGTTGACTAAAATATCACTACAGAGCTGCCTCGTAAGTAATATATGTAGTAATTTATAATAGTCAATCTATGATAGTTGCATCTATAAGAAGGTAGTTACAACTTTTTTTTTTTTAATGGGAAAAAAAAAATTAAATTTGATTTATTGGATATATTATATCTAGAGTACTGATATTACTCAATATTTCCATAACTAATATAATAAATAAATTTTATTCTGAAGGAGTACCTGTAATTCTATAATAAATGTTTTATGTTGTATATATTTTATTTAATATTAAACATTAATATTTAACAGTTTTTAGGGCAATCTACTTTTTTTTTTATTAACTTAATACCTAATAAAAATTAATTAAATACATTTTTGAAAGTTTAAAGTAAAACCATGTATCGTTTACCAGTTAAATTGAGGAAAACTGTATTTTTAAAAAATGCAATTAAAGTAGATACTAAAGCAATATTCACAAATAAAATTGATTAACTTTAATACTATTCAGCTTATTATTCAATGTAAATAATGTTTCTCTATTTTAATATAACTTAATAATAATTAGTTTGGATAGGTAATATAAACTATTATAATTCAAATTTAAAGATTAAATTAAATGCTGTATTGATATTAATACATTTAATGAAGTATCTGATGGAAAATTGTTATCTAATTTGTACTTTGATTTGGACATTTTGCAGTATTAATCATTTCACGTTAGAAAAATAATCTAAATTAAATTAATGTGTGTTAGTAGTTATCTATTTGATGCATAAAAAATAGCTATTTATTTAATGGGGTTTTTTATTATTTTGAAAAACATGTTCTATTTTAATTTAAAACTACATGAAATTTTTTTTTCGATTTATTAAAATTTATGTTATTATCATATTAAATATATTTTATTAAAATATAAATCTAAAGAATTTAAAAACTAATAAAATTATGAATTCAATAATTTTTTTGTATGGTTAATATTAATATTTTTGAATCATTAAAGTTATAAAAAACAATAAGATTTTACATCATAAAAGTTTTTTTAGAGCTTTTCTATAATAGTTCATTATTCAATTCAAACGATTGCGAGCCATTTAGTCTTTAGGCCACCAAAACTGCATCTTGCCATAAATTTTTATCATGTGTCTGCTTCCAGTCTACTATAATTTCTTTCAGCATTTCCCTGATGTTTTCCTTCTATATTTTCCGCGGCCTTAAACTGAGTATTCTTCCCCTCACCATATATGTCAATGCTCCTTTTAACATACTTTCATAGGCTTGCCATACATGGCCTGCCCATTCTATTCTTTTTCCCCTGATGAATTGGATCATTATCTTCTATATTGTAAATCTGGTATAGTTTAGTGATCGTTCTTATTTCCCATTTCTGTTCCATATGGTTGAATATGGGTCCCTACATTGTTCTAAGAACTTCTCTTAAAGAAATTTTTTAGTCATCACCTGTCATCATTGTCCATGTGACACATGCTTGTTTCCAGTGGTGCACAGAAGTATTTTGAGAGCACATACAACTAAAAAAAGTTACCCGTCCACCCACTAATTCTTTTAAATTGTTGTCTGTAATTATAATTAACTCTTAAAACAACTATAAATTTAAGAAATTAAGATTTATTATAATTAATTAAAATTAAGATGTCTACACCCAGTGCCATATAAGTATAATGTTAGTGTTATAATAATAATGTTATTTGCTTATCATATTCCATAATGTTTGGTACCCAGGTTGTCTAATTATATACCCACCAACCTCCGACACATGACCTAACATGCAATTGTACCCCTTGGTAACCTGTTTGGGCGCCACTGCATGTGTCAATACATCTATATATCTTATACAATGGTGTTTTTTCATTTTCCTTGACAATAACTTGGATTTAAAGAGGGTTTTCAGTGCATAAAGATATCGGTTAGCTGCACCCAATCTAATATTGATCTTTACATGTATATTAATTTGTCTATTTTTAGAGTAGTAGGTACCGAAAGAACTCTTGTACTTGTTCAAAGATGTTATTTTTCACCTGGAGGTTGTTATGATCATGCCTTCTCGTTCTACCTCGATGTATTTAGTTTTTCCGCTGTTCATTGTTAAACCAATTACGTTTCCTATCCTTATCAGTTCTTTAATAGTACTTTGAACATCGTCTCGGGATTTCCCAATAACCACTATGCTTATATCTTTGTACCATTATAGAATTACGTCATGTTACTGGTTGTTATGCATCCTTTGCCATTTTATTTCTTGTAACGTAATTATATTTACCTTAAATATATATTGCAAAAACTAGCGTACCAAATGTTCCTGCTTCATATAAACTTCTTATATTTCATGTACCAATTATAAATCCTGGTAGTCTGCAGTTTCCATTGTGTTTTATCCATATCTTTATCCATAGGGTTTATTTTTGGTTTCTTAACAATTATATTTTATTCACTAACGGGTTGTTAGCCTGTTACCAAACCCCCAACCTAGAGAACCAGTCTAATCCAACCAATTAAAATGAGCTTAGAGCTCAGGGCCCCAGGTTCGTTAAACCCATGGTGCTATTTACTTAGCACTTTCCTAAGGGGACTGTATTGCATTTAATTTATTTAAATATATCTAATTTAATTAATAAATATAAATTACTAATTATTAATAATATCTTAATTGATTATATTTGATAATAAATTCTGGTTGTATCAGTGGCATACATTAAATCTTGCTCTGGGGGTGTTTAACAAAAATAATCGTTATCTTTTTTTTTTTCATTGCACAGATAAATAAGATAAATTACTGCTATAAATAGATATTATTTTATACAACTTTTTAACCAATTTACAGTTTACTTTTACATTACAGTAAATTAATAGTTATTGGAATATAAAAACAGTATAGTTTACAAAAGTTTTCAAACACCTATCAATATAATTATTTAACTATCATAATATTTGTATAGTTGTATATTTTAAGTTCAAAGCGTAATAATGAAACTACGAATATATTACACGTCATTAATAATAAAAAACATTTTTTTTTGGCCCTGGGGTGGGGTTGAACCCGGACCTCCCTAAATGTGGCCCTGAATATAAGATATAAATGAAAATACATTTTTCTCTAAGAAAAAATAAGTCAATTTTATATGATATTTGTCTTATGCAAGTTATCAATTAGTTAACTGATATAAGTACTAAATTAATTGATAACATATTTCGTGAAATAAGTTATAGTAAAGTAGAGACTTATTTTAGAGTGAATTAGGCTAAATTATTTGTTTACTACAACACAAGTTTGTGCTTCTTAAGCGCTAGTTGAAATAATGTTTTTTTTGGTCGGCTTCATGTATTTGCTAACATATTCTAGATTTTGTGATAAAATGTTCGAAAATTAAATTTTTTTAAAAATTATTCGTAATTCTTAAAGTAAAGTAATAAGTAATAAATTTATTTAATTTTTTATACATTATTTTTGTTTTTATTTTTTTATTATTTAATCTTAAAAAAAGATAATGGTTGGGTTTATAACTTCCACTCGTCTTGATTTTTTACATTCCCTACACACACACTAACAGCTCTCTTATGATTCTCAATCATATCCAACCATCTCTTTTTTGGTCTTCCTCTTCTTCTTTTCTCTTCAACATTCATTTTCATAACCACTTTTACTACTTTTGTTTCCTTTCGTCTCATCACATGCCCAAACCATAAACCATCTCAGTCTATTTTCTCTCATCTTGTCCACTATCACACTACACCCATATTACATTTAACATACTCGTTCCTTATTCTATCTTGTGTCTAGTATCTAGATATTTTTTTCTAGTATCTTTCCCATCCCTGCCTAGAAGTAGGTATATATAAAAAAAAAATTAACAAATCTATTAAGTTAATATATACATACTATAATTTTAAACACTAATGTATCATTATTATACATTTATTTTATTAATTATTTTTAGTTAGGTATTAATATTATTATATTACTTTATATTTATAAAATTATCACAAAAAGATAATTTGATTCAAGGTTTTTTATTAATTTAATTTTTTCTGTTTACAGTTTACCTTTTCAATTTACTAACAAATTGGTGATTAAATATAGTATATAAGACTTTAGTTGTATTGTACAAGCAAAATAAGTATGAGAATTTGTGGTCTTGAAGAACAAATCCATGTCATTGATAATAATGTGACGGTTGAAGAAATTATTAAGGATATAGTTAGAACAAAGGTAATGGTTTAGTTTAGTGTTTACCACATAATTTAATCTATTCTATGTTTATAATTTTAATACATCTATTTTTATTTAATAAAATATTGTATACATTTTTTTATTCAGGAAATATCTGATCCTTTTTATATATTTGATATTGGAGATCTTGTTTACAAAGCAAAAATATGGCAGCAAAAAATGCCTCGTATAAAACCATTTTATGGTAAGTTTGACCGAAATATATTTATATTAAACTTTTTATCAAACTAATGAATATTATGTGAATAGTAGTATTTTAAACTAATTGTATTCAATTAGTTTTAAACTTTAATTCAATTGATGACTTTTCCAAAAATTAATACTGTGCCTTAATATAAGAATTTATTATAATATCTAAATATTTAAACCTGATTTTTACATAAATAATATATAAGATTTTGTTTTATACTTGGTTACTTCTTTCCTTGAATAGTTTTTATTATATTTTTTTATAATAATATTTAACTTTTTAATCATATGAAATGTTAATTTAGTACTATGTAAAATGTATACTAATTCTTTAGTTAGTATGTACATATGTTAAATTTAATTAAATTGATTGATTTTATTAATTCTTAGAATACAAAAGGCAACATTTTAATATTACATTTCATACTTAGCCTTGTACTATTTGTTTATATGATTATGAATATATAATCAAGATTCAAATGACCCTGGTATTACCTAATTTTATTTTTGTAATTTGTAGTAATCTAGTAATTTTATTTGATATATTATTACATATTGATATATTAAATAACTAGTATTAGTTAGATAATTAGTTATATAAAAAATATTGCATGCATTTGTAACAAATAAAGTGCTGAAAACTTTTATATTTTATGCTAAAAAAGGATTGTTTGACTCTTTTATAATCATATTTTTTTAATATGATCATAAGAAATGTTATTTTAAAATATCAAATCAAGGTTTTTGTTTATTTTAATTTTTTGTTTTGATTTAATACAGATTCTATGTTATAAAATCTGGAGTTAAGAATTATGTTTCAATTAAAAAAAAAAAAAAATTAAGAATAATCATGCTCTTAAAAACTTGAATAAATAATAAAGATAAAGTAACTGGATAATATAAATGCTTAACAGTTTATGCAGTCAATTATATTTGATTTGAAATATTCTCTCAAATATTATATTTCTAGCTTAATTTATATATGATTGAATATTTAGTATTTAGTAATTTATAAAATTATATTTTGATATTTTGCCTAAGTACATAATTTTAATTAAATAATACATTTCAGCTGTGAAGTGCAACGACAATTCCCTTGCCTTAGAAACTTTAGCTGCCTTTGGAATGAGTTTCGATTGTGCTTCCAAGGTAGGATTATTTTAAAAAGATAAATTATGTAAGAGCATGGGTTGATTATATTTTTTTTTTTAGGCGGAAATAAAAAAAGTGTTGGATTTGGGAGTAAGTCCATCACGTATAATATTCGCTAATCCTGCAAAAATGACTTCACATATCAAGTACGCTATGAATCAATGTGTTGATTTGACAACATTTGATAATGAACTGGAACTTTACAAAATTAAATCTATACATCCAACCTGCAAGTAAGTTAATTGTGGCTAGTTCATAACTTAAATATTTATTTATTTGTATTTTAGCCTAGTTATTCGAATTCGTTGTGATGCTACTGAAACACAGTGTCCACTTGGTATCAAATATGGCTGTGATCCTCAAACTGAAGCACCTGGATTAATTTCATTGGCCCGCGACTTAGGTTTATCTATAGTAGGAGTTAGTTTTCATGTTGGTTCAGGATGCAATGAACCAATTGCCTTTCGAAGGGCAATCGCTGCTGCTGCAACAATTTTCCGTCTTGCTCAGCAATTAGGTTTTATGAATATGTACTTGTTGAACATAGGTGGAGGATTTCCTGGAAATAAAAATACATCACTGGACAAAGTATGTAACTTATTAAAAATATATTTATGAAATTTACATTTTAAATTTTTACTAATTGCATTCAATTTTATAGATTTCAGATGTAGTGAATGATGCCCTTAATGAATGGTTTCCTCCAAATAGTGGAGTGACTATTATGGCGGAGCCAGGGAGATTTTTTGTGGCCTCAGCATTTACACTTGCCACTAAAATTCATTCAATAAAGAGGCGATCAAATGACAAAGATCATATCATGTATTTCATCAATGATGGAGTGTACGGTTCTTTTAATAGTATACTTTATGATCATTCGATTGTTGAGCCCAAACCTTTGAATGTGAGTTACGAGTTATTTCCTGGATACTTAGTTAACATTAAGATTATATAAACTTGTTTTATGTTACTGTAGGATTATCCAATGAGCCCAATCACTCAAAGTTCCATCTGGGGACCTACTTGTGATGGATTAGATCAGGTGGTTGATTTGGTAAACTTGCCTCTTATGAAAATGGGTGATTGGATTACTTTTGAGGACATGGGAGCTTATACGATACCTGTGGCTAGTACATTTAATGGATTTCCTCTACCTAAAGTCTATGCCATTGCCAGCCGTGAAATTTGGTTGGTAATTGTTTGTAATATATGATATAATTGAATATAATATATAGTGTTTTAAATATTGATAATTTTATCATAATTTAAACTGTGTAATATATTGTTTAGGCTCAAGCTGAAAAATTTAATGCCAATATCAGAGGATCACTTTACAACCGTGCCCATTGTTGCAACTATCAAGATGGTTCGATCAGATTCAAGCGATGAAGATGATTGGGATGAAAATGATTTAGACTATACTAGAAATTATCCATGTCTTCATTTAAAAAATTCGTTTTCTTTGCCTGAAGCATGAGGTTTTGCTTGTATAATGAAATAACTTAGTCTCCGTTTTATTATATTTAAAATTAGTTTTAAGTTTCTGTTAGCATTCACTGAATTGAGTAAAGAGGCAGCTCTCCATAATTACATTTATACACAAATAATACATTTTAATCTTTTAATTTATTCTTTACCATAGTTTAAGATTTGTTGTCTTTTGAATATAATGATGATATTTATTGGTGCGTTGTGTAATGTTTAATGTTTGAAACACATTATGAAATATTAACATCAAATTATTTAACACTAGTATTAGACAACTATCCAAATAAAATTAATGTTTGTTTATTGATAAATATAGATATTATGACACTTATGGAAATAATTTTGTTTTCTCACTTTATGATTTTCTTAATCATCTATTTTTTAATCAGATTGAACCTGAAAGATTCATATTATCATATATTGTTGTTATACATAATTAGCTACCATATATTTTATTGTTTCTTTTTTATTGTAACTAGAGATTTAGTTAATATCCATTTTTCATCAATGGAGAAAGGTTGAAAAAAGAAGTTTATAATAGTTACAGAGTACAACAACTTCTATTAGTATTCTATTAATTCAAATTGATTTTATTGATGTTCATGTTGAAGTTAAAATGTGTGCTGTATAAACTATAACCATATTTTAAGTATACTAAATTGGTAGACTAAAATATTTTATATCCTCTGTTACTATGTACAAAAAATATAAATAGTATCAATGGATTGATGCAGTTTCCTATCCTAATAGGAATTAAGTACACCCTTATTCTATTGCAGGGTTTCCCAACCTATGGGTCGCAAAATATTTTTGATGGGTCGCTGTTGGTAAACTAGACAACTATTCTTACTATTCAACTAAGTATTAACTAACAACAAGAAAAATATCTTGGTTATCAAAATATAATTATGTGTATCATAATTAAGCTTTTGAAGTATTTCGTTAAAGTATATGATAAAATTCCTTATAATTAAATTATGAGTTATGTTATTATATTAAATCATATGAGGTTTTTTTTTGGAGGGTCGTCTACTTTAGCGGTGTGCAACCTATTTTGATCCACGACCCGCAAATTAATTTATTTTGATAAGGTAACCCCCCTCATTAACATGTTAATGTATAACATATACTTATTCGATGTATACAAAAATTGTATTCATACAAATTAAATCGTTAATTTTAGGTAATTTTAATATTAATTTAATTAATCCGAAATATTAAAAAATTAAAGTACAAAATTAGTTTTATAAAAAATAAAATATAATAATTTAAATGATAATAATAATTATAAAATAAAATGTAAAATACAGACATAAAGTTGAATGGAATACAAAATAATTATTTTTTTTCATTTCGTGTTGTTATTGGCGACCTACCAGGTTGCGCACTACTGGTCTACTCAACACAGGACATTTATGGACATGGACGTATTTAGATTTGGCTAGGGGGCATGGGCCCCGGACGCAAAATTTCGGAGAGCATTTTGATAAACAGTACTTAGGTCATTTGGGTGGTGAAGTAATGATACAAATAAAATATTTACTAGGGTTTTCATTTATCACGAAACATCCATTGATAATACCAAGAATCAAGAAATAGAAAAGTATATTGTACTTTACTAGTTTGAGAGCTGAGATACACAGAATGGAAACTGACAAGATATTATATAATAAGCTCTTATGGCCAAAATATTTCGTAGTCATGTCGGTCGTGTCAGTTATAATAATCTTATTTGTAACATAATCACAAA